GAAAATGTGTCTACCATTGTAACCGTAATACCGCATTTTTTAACTGGAAATAAACGAAATTTAATTCATGTAAAATGATAAGATAAACGCAATTTCCGTGTTTTAATTTCTTTTGTGCACCAGCTAATCCCTTACAGACATTCAGAATTTCGCGGCCAACATTTAGCAATTCAACCCAAAATAGCGTAAAATCTCACTAAACCCTTTCAACAATGCGTTATACATTACAGTGTCGCTTAATATTTCAAATGAGGTGAAATTATAAAATGCAATTCGACAACTTGAAATGCGTTAAAATATGAAATAAAAACAAACAACAAAACGTGTCACTTTTCAAAAATCATGTCCGTGACCCTCTTCGGGTATCTTAAGCGCATATTAATTTCAGAAATGTACACACATATGAGTCGGCATACATCCTCGATTAACACGCTCTCAAACTGTCGCGTCGGAGCGTGTATACCGAACGTGTACATTTCTGAAATGCACATACGCATGCATTACTCAATTTTCAAACAATAGTTAAACAACATCTGGCATTTTTAAAGCGACAATAGCTGTAATTATCGATCTTTTTCCTCTAATTTTTGTTTTAATAAAGCATTTCTTGTGTAAATTTGTAACGGCCATCGAACCCTAGGGATTACGGTACAAGATGACAACTAACTGAAGGCCATGGGTGAAATACTTCACCATCCTGAGTGGCTAAGCCTCTCGTTGACGGTCTCTTACTGATGATTTTATGTGTCATTTCCTATTATATATGTTATGTTACATTAACCTTGTGTAGTGTCACTTTACCCATGCAATTGTGTCTAAAACTATGGTTTTGGTTCATATTGCCCTGAAATAGACATATATGAAAAAAAGTAAATTTTGAATAATAAACCATCTTCGACTGAAATTGAAAAGTTTTGAGTAGTAGCAACACCCACCCACACAATGAAACTGTGCAAACGGAGGAAGCTGTCCAAGTGCTATGCGTTAAATACCAACTCGTAGTTGTAACCTTACAAGTGTGTGAAGTATTGGGATATTAATGAGAATCGTTTGACAACAAATAATTTTTATAACGCTGTCCCAACTTCCAAACGTGACACTGTTTATGAGATCTATGTTTTATCTACTGAGCACAGTCACTGCAATGCATTATGGGAGAGAACATCCGATTGCATATAATGGAAAACTATTATCAGACTGGGATCTAACTAAATTATATAACCATTATTTAAATGTTTTAACAATACCAGGATTCAATAACAATATATGACTTTAAAAGCTAATTCTTTTGATCGGACGGGTAAATAAAAACACTCTGCTGTGTATTACCCACTCTCGTCTCGTCAAGCACTACCAGGACAGTGAATGTTTACTCCCAAATATCAACCGAAATACCACCTAAGTGAAACCAACATTGTTATTGATATATTCTACCCGGGTAAATAAATATGTAATATTATTGGACCAATGATACCGGTCGTGGGAAAAACCAACTTGAAGTATTGGAAGTGCCTGAATGTCTATGGTACCGTAACGTCGGATGACACTATTATCTATCTTTTTGTAACCCCCCTCCCGGACTAAATAGTCTCATAAATACAACTTCCATCAGATTAAAAAAAAATACTTCTGTCATTTAATCAAATTTGTCAAAATACAAAAAATGTTGATGACGTATGAAAATGACCATCGATACGTGTATCAACCATAAAATTGAGGCATAAAATTGAGAATTGTATCGGACATAATTACTAGTAATTAATCGGAGCAATACGTTGTGTCCATGCTACTTCTATTTTGCAATCTTCAATTATACATACTTTTTCGTTAATTCTCTGAAAAACTCTTGGTGGATTTTGTTAGAAAAGAGTTGTAGTTTATATTTAATTAGTTCCGCACTACTATAGGCTACTGGTCCAATACACAACATTGAGTATAACAAAATAGACGTTGGTAAATCAAAACAAATACAAAACTGATAACATGGTTTCATGACCATGGTGTTTTCAAACTGTTTTAATGAAATTTTACATCTAAGTCTTTACAGGATGGGTGAAATTGTTAGTTATAGAAATTGTCCATGTTATGAATCCGATCTACAATATTTTGGGATATATTTATCTCTGAGTTCTAAAAAGCTTGACAAATTAGAAAAAAATAATATTCGCCTCCAATATTCACATAATGTGTACTAGTATATGTTTGCCCGTTGATTACAGGTGGCCGAGAGGAAGACGTGAAGCCGTGAAGTTGAGCGATTAGGTGCCAGTGCCGCACGCGAGCGTCGGTCCGAGACACACACGCAGTATAAGTTTACTTTGATTTGACATAATATCTACCCTGCTGTATATTCGTTTTTATTTACTTGGCAATTTTACATATCATTTATTTTTAATACATTTATTTAATTACCACCCCAACAAGAAACAACAATATTAGCGAACCTATAGATAAAATCTACAAAAAACATTAAATCCAAATAGTCTGAAACAAATCTAAATCCACTTAAATCTAAATAGTGATTGAGCAATGAATACAGCATAAATTGACAACAGTTGGATGCTCATTTACAAAATTCCTGAAGTGCTTCAAAATAAAACATTTTTTTAGAGAAAGGTGTTTCATTTTACGCCTATGAACTTGAATGTGTACATGTCGTACATACATATTTATAATACATGTATAATCGGGTCTATTGTGTTGAAACATTACATGTGTATTTATTTTACGAAGTACTTCAAAAAAAAAGTTTTAAAAAAGTGTTTAGTCACTCTCATGAACAAAAATGTGTCTTTTACTCTGTAAAACATTTATAGTCTGGTGTATTAGGCTGAAACGTCGCTGGTGCCTTTGATTAATGAAGTGCTTTAAATTGTACAGGTTACGAGAACAAATGTTTATATCATATGTTAAAATACTCTGATGTGATTCGAATCACCAGCACCCTTTACCAAATACGGTGTATATAAGGCCACAAGGCACTTTGCCAGTTTTCCAGTTGATATGGCCATATATGAGTACATACAAACAATACGTCCACAATCTGGTGCTATGTTGATAAGCTATGCTACTATGCTACTATTTGAATTCAAAGACATCATAAAACAGAAAACTACTTCTTTAGAAGGTGTTGTAATGACCATCTCATTATGCAATGAATTACTTTATCTCCTGATTGCGTATCATCGCTTACAGTGTCGTTAATTCACATACTAGACTAAAACAAACTGTTGCAGCTAAACCTCCTTATCGCATCATGTTTTGCAAATCACTTTGCTTACGTTAACGTTTTCCTGACATTAAACTGTTTTACAACTACACTATTTTACAGCAATACATCCATGTTCTACTTTATATTATGAGTCGAATTTGCTCTTCAGTTTACATACATCCATTGCTTCTTTCTGAACAACGATCTGTGATTCCATTTGATGTTCTTTTACTCTGTTTGGCTTCATTATATTCCCATTAGAACGCACGCCAAGAAAATGACCGACATACGCAACTGATTCAAAGGTACAATAGCCAGAGTCCGCTTGACGTACGATAAACTCACTTTCCTTTCCACCATGTCCCTGTAATTGTAGTAAGCATAATAATAAATGTCAAACTATTATTTTATTGTCAATCATGCACAAACAGGTATAGGTTTTTTACCTCTAATTTCGGCCCAGATTTACCTTATTCCACACTGACTAAAATACAGTTTGTGTCGATAAAAAAATTGGAAAATCATAGGTTTATTTTGTGAAAGGTGACAAAGAATTTGGCGAGTCAACCACATATGTACGTCATATTTAAACAAACAAACAAACAAACAAGTAAATAAATAAATAAACAAACAAGTAAATTAAATAAATAAATAAATAAATAAATAAATAAATAAATAAATAAATAAATAAATAAATAAATAAATAAATAAATAAATAAATAAATAAATAAATAAATAAATAAATAAATAAATAAAGACTTGTTTTTTCATCACGCAAAATCACGGAGACAGGAACTAATTAAACAATTACAGTTCAGAATATGTAATTATAGTTAAATAGTAATAAGAAATAGTTCAAGCCATTTTAGTGCAATACAAATTGTAATTATGTCTGAATAATACCGAATTTCATATATTTTATGCTTCTGGACGAGTCATGCCCCATGCGTCGTTATAATCTACCATACCACAGTTGGAATACTATGTAGTAACGAAAATATCAAATTCCATTTCCATCCATTTTAGTGGCTTTGCAAACGGTAATGTTGCGTTTACGGAAAAAGTCGCTGATACTTGTTCTTTGCGACAAACAGCAAAAACAAAAACAAATATAAATTTGAGCAATTTATTTTATTAACATAAAAAACCATACATGAAAGTGTGTGCTTATTATTCCTGGCTAGAGTATGTGTATACTTGCACATACACATAAACGATATGTATACACGATATAAACGCGATATGTGGAATACTT